CCGCATCGCGCTCAGCCAGTGAGCGGGAACCGGTCTCCACATGGGATCCGAACCCTCGGCGGAAGCGTCGCCACCCCCCCAAGTGGCGCACTCTCCAGTGCGCCACCGGGCCAGCCCGTGATCATTGCTTTTTATAAGTATTAAGTGCCAGGTACTATGCTAAATGTTCTATATGCCTGATTTCAGAGAATGGGAGTATAATATAGTGGTTGAGTGTCTTGTATTCAGAATGCCTGGGGTCAAACCAAGACCTGCCACTTAATAGCTGTGTAACCTTAGGTGAATTAATTCTCTATGCCCCAGTTTTGTTAGAGGAAAGAGAAAACAAAAGCATCTACGTCAGTGAGATGTTTTAAGGATTAAATGAGGTTATAGAAGTAAAGCACTTAGGACTGTTCCTCAGTAAGCCAGCCCTCAAAAATTGTGAGCCATTATTGTCACTGTCATAATCATCATTTATAGTTATTATTACTCCTCTCAACAATCCTAATTATTATCCTCATTCTATAAATTAGGAAACTGAAGCTAAGAACTCACACTAATCAATTCCATGATAAAACACAAACTCTTTTTGTAATTTCCAGCAATAAAATACATCAGGAGAAATTCCAAACATGTAGCAGGTCTGTGTGGATTATTGTTGCCACAATTCCAAAGCATATGTTCAATCTCCTGTGACCTTAGTTGCACTTTAGTAGAAAAGAATTGAGAGAAAATACTTCATGATAAAACCCAAATTCTTTAGCATAGCATATAGTTCCCATAGCTTTACCCTTGATGATCCAATAAACCTAAATTACTTGTAATTCCTTGCTATTTGCCCCTCAGCATCTTTATTCATGCTTTCATTTAACATGGAATGTCCTCCCACTTTCCTCCTAGTCTGGTTAACCCTTTATCATATTTTAAAACTCAGCAATTCCTGTAAGAGAGCCTTGGCTTGGCCAAGTACCTCCAGTGCATCTTAATGTCCACTTCTATTTTGGCACTTGCAATACTACAATGAAGTTATTTGTTTACAAATTTCCTCCACTAGAGACTGTCCTATTCAACCTTATATATCCAGTGCCTAACAGTGTTTGCCAGGGGCCAGCCCGGTGGCGCACTGGATAGTGCGCTGCTTGGGAAGCACGGCGGCGCTCCCGTCCGAGGGTTCGGATCCCACATACAGACCGGCTCCCACTCACTGGCTGAGCGAGGCGCGGGAGCAATGCCGAGGCTTGCGATCCCGTTGCCGGTTCCCGGTCCGGTACGGGGAGGCCTGTGCAACCCTCCCCAGCAGTGGGGGAGTCACGGCTGGCCTGGGCCACTGGAAGATGCTCTGCAGTGGTCACATCAAAAGAGGCAGTGGGCAGCGGAGCTGGGAGGGTGATGGCTGTATGTGGTGTGAGCCTCACTCCAGAGGCGCCAGAGGGAACGGGAAAGAGACCGAGTCCTGGGACAGCTGGCAGGGGCAGATATTGGGCCAGAGGACACAGGGACTAACGGAAATAATTTCAGCAAGCGTCCGCATACTGGGGGCTCCCACAGAACACCTGGGTTACAGGCACCTAGAGAGTCGGGTGCAAACATGACACAGCGGCCAGGAAGCCTGCGTCTGCGCACCTGAGATGCGGCTCTTTTCATCCTTACGTACAGCAACTCTTCTGCCCTCGGGAGCAACCGGGAGTGTCCACTCCCTTTGCCACACGAGTGTCACCAGGATCTGAAGACACTTTTCAGGTCCTGTGTCCTCTCCTTCCCCACCTGCTGTCCTCCCCTATTCTCTATTGATTTTCCAGGCTGCAGCGGAGTGGCAGAGCCGAGAGCTGAGGCAACCACATCACTGTGTCCCTGGGACCGTGGCCTCTCTCACTAGAACACTGCAGTTCTGCTAGATTAGGCTTGGGGTGCAGACTGGCCTCTTCCGTGGCCACTGTTTTCTGCTTCTTTCATTATTGCGGCATTAATTTAGTGCATGCACTGCTTTTTTAAGAGATGTTTTAAATCCTTCCCAGGACACAGTGGGGTAGAAATTAGGGGTGTAAACTCCAAAGCTCTGGGGGCCACTTTTTGTCTTTTTTCGTGTCCGGCAACGGATCGCAACCCTCAGTGTCGCGCCCGTACCGGACCAGGACCGGCAACAGGATCGCAACCCTCAGCGCTGCGCCCGCCCCTTGCTCAGCCAGTGAGTGGGAACCGGTCTGTATGTGGGATCCGAACCCTCGGCGGGAGCGCCACCGCGCTTCCCAAGCGGCGCACTGTAGCAGTGCGCCACCGGGCAAGCCCAATATACATCCTTTTAAGTTCAGAGAATCTATCATTTTATTTGGTCAATTAGAGAAATACATGATCATTTACTTGGCTCTCTGAAATCCAGATTTTATTTTCATGATAGTGGGATCTATGTAGTATATACAGAATACTAAGTATTTCTACAGAAATACAAAATCTGAAACCTCAAACAGAACATGAATAATTTCAAAAACCTAAATGAACTAAACAAGAAATTTAAATTAAGCCATCACAACCAGAAAGCTATTTCCCTTCATTTCAATTCTTACATTAAACATAAACAATTATTTAACCCCACTGGACCCAGTGTTTTTTCTTTTTAAATAACCCATTCTTTGCAACAACGTCTGTACCTTCCTGAAATAAAGTACACCAATAATATAAACTATTTAACACATTTAAAATGAATAAGTGCCTTATACATAATAAAAATAAAGCAATTTTTAATAAAATTAGTATCTCAACATATAAATGGTTAGATAAGTACCCCAGAAGACACAATGAAGTAATCAGATGCTTGTACCTACAGATAAGAAAAGTAAGGTTAACAGAATTCTTTTTTTTTTTTTTTTTTTTTTGTCTTTTTCTGTGTCCGGCAACGGATCGCAACCCTCAGTGTTGCCCCCGTACTGGACCGGGGACCGGCAACGGGATTGCAACCCTCGGTGTTGCTCCCGCGCCTCGCTCAGCCAGTGAGCAGGAACCGGTCTGTATGTGGGATCCGAACCCTCGGGCGGGAGCGCCGCCGCGCTTCCCAAGCGGCGCACTTATCCAGTGCGCCACCGGGCCGGCCCAGGTTAACAGAATTCTAAACAAGGAGGATATAAAAATGAAAGCAAAAATATGAGAAGATACTAGAATTAAAATTAGTGTTATGTGACTTATTTGGAAATGCCAAGAATAAGAGTAAAATAACTCTGACACAGGGACAACATAACAAAATAAAGTACAAGGAATTGATCTAAAGAAAGCAAAGATGTCAACAGAATGAGAAGACAAGCCACAGACTGAGAGAAAATAATTGTAAAAAACACATTTGATAAAAGTCTGTTATCCAAAATATACAAAGAACTCTTAAAACTCAATTAGAAAATAAACACCCTGATTAAAAAATGAACCAAACACCTTAACAGAGACTTCACCAAAGAAGATACACAGATAGAAAATAAGCATACAAAAAGATGCTCCACATCAAATGTCATCAGGGAAATGCAAGTTAAAACAATGAGATACCACTACACTAACAGAACGGCCAAAGTCCAGAACACTGACAAAAACAAATGTTGATGAAGATGTGGAGCAACAGGAACTCTCATTCATTGCTGATAGGAATGCAAGTTGGTACAGACACTTTGCAAGACAGGTTAGCAGTTTTTTACAAAACTAAACTTACTTTACCACACAATCCATTAATTGTTCTCCTTGGTATTTACCTAAAGGAGGTGAAAACTTATGTCTACACACAAACCTGCACACGGATGTTCACAGAAGATTTTATTCACAATTGCCAAAATTTGGAAGCAACCAAGATGTCCATCAGCAGGTGAACAGATAATCTATGGTACATCCAGACAATGGACTAAGCGCTTAAAAAGAAATGAGCTAACAAGCCATGAAAGACATGGAGGAATCTTAAATGCATATTACTAAGTGAAAGAAGCCAATCTGAAATGGCTACATAGT